GGATGCCAAGCAGCTGGTGCGTGACGCCATCGCTGCAGGTATCTTCAATGATCTGGGCTCTGGAAGCAACATTGACCTGTGTGTTATAACGAAGAGCAAGGTGGACTACATCCGGCCCCACGACGAGGTCAACAAGAAGGGGATTAGGTGAGGACTATACTGTTACCTGGAGGTTAAATTCATCCTGGATTTATTCTTCCACATTCAGTTTTTCTGATTCCCAACATGTTGCATCAACATGTTAGGAATAAGAGAAACCTTAATGTTCAGACGCTTGTCCTTCCCAGAATATATTTTCATGAAGCACATGGGAAAGGCTTTTCAGATGGTGACAGTAATAATCCAAGATGAAGAGCAGCTGTTCATGTGTGTAGAGTTACACAGTACATGATGTAGCACTGTTGTCTCCATCTCTTCTATAACAGAATGCATCATGTCACCTCACAGCACACAGCTTGTTTAGATATTGTAATCATAAATGTAATTTGGAGTCATCACCATGCCATCACTTGATGAGTTGGTGGATGATTTGTGTTGTTGCTTGTCCTGCTTAAAGAATGAATGAGACCTTGCAGCTGGAAAGTCTTTGTTGGAGTGCAGATCTAATAGCCACCGCCTCTCACACTGATCTTTGTTTACTACTACCAAACTTATATATATATATATATTATATGCTTAGTTTGACCTTCTGTGGCTAATGTGCATGGCTGTGTGTGTTGGCTGTAATGTGGCATGCTGTGCCAATGAAAATGAAACCACAGATGTATGGGAAAACATTAAACCGCTTCTTATTTCATGTGTCTTATTCCCTGCTGTAGAACTGGTGACTACACGTACAAAAGAGGAACCACTGGTGTTTTGACAAAGGTTGTGACACCATTGGACCTGGAGCTGATGGAAGAATCTGTACAGACTATGGATACCTCCTAAAATACTTGCACAAAGTGCTTCTTGATTTAACTCGCTACCCCTGAGAAACAACAAAAATAGCATGTTTTTCCTTAGTTCACAATAAAAGTGTTTCAGTTGATTCATGTTGTGTTCATGACTGTCTTTAAAGTTTTGGAGCTGCAAATAAAATGGTTGGGTGAGTTTTAAAAGGGCCACCCAGTTTAAAAGCTGCTTGCTGACAGAACTGTATGTTAGTCAGAAATGCAGGTTTTCTGAAGTGTGCTTCATCTGGCATGGTCCCTGAGAAGTGAGCTTATGAATTAATACATTTAAAATTTGATGAAACAACTGAATATCTTCTGTGGGATCGGAGCAGTAAGGCTAGCCTTCACTCCCCAGGGTGCAACAAGGGAGTATTTCAACGCCCCACAAGACCTGATGTTTCAGAGATACACTGACCCAGGCCTCTAGTCATCACAATTCAAATCCTTGTCACTCGGGTCCTTAGACTTCCCCGTTGTTCCTGTTTCAAACGCAACTTCAAGAAATGTTTTCCTGCTTATATCCCACCCCTTGATATGTGGGATAAAGGCAATATAATGTGGTTTTAATGTTGTGGCTCATCAGTGAATGCAATACTTTTATTTTATTAGCAGAAAATACAAGTTGTCATTAACTGAATGAACTGTCATTCAGTTATTCTGTAAAGTAAGGCAACACACAGTTATTTAGTACTAGTTATTTTTAATGTGCTTGCTTAGCACTGTCAAGCATCTCATGTTTATGGTTTTTACATTCACAGTAATGGTCTATATTTGCACATAAAAGCACTGAAGAGATTGTAAACTGCATTCTTCATAAAGCATAAAACTGGAATAATAGGCCTATTCATCAACACCCTCTCCACCATGGCACAAACTGTTATTCTAATACAACTTTGGTTTCATTTTTATGAACAGATTTAATAAAGAATACTGCAGCAGTTACTACTATGCTATTTCTTTAGTTTCACAGAGACAATGGCGTTAAGTTCTACATTTTTTATTACAAGGTTGCCATTTACTTAAAACATGGTTTATAAAGAACTGTCCTTCATAAATACCATATCAACACTGTCAATGATATGTAAAATACAAGTAAATAATTATCACATCTAAATATGTGTTAACTAATGATAAAATCAGAGGCTGGCACAGTTTGAGTAAATCCAGATGCAAGGACAAAATTATTAGTTCACAAATAGCAAAAGGGCAATGAGGACGTCCTGTTTTCAAATATCCAGACAACTGGAAGCCAAGAGTAGCTGTGGTGGATGATGCTGGTCAACATTTACATTTTTAGGCTTATTATCTGAAGATCACAACTTCATTGGCTTGTTATTAGCAATTTAAAGTTGCACATCTGTAATGGTGAGACATTTTAAAAAAGAATGGTCACAAAACTGAAACAGCAGAGGTGATGATGCCCTGACAGTTTTCACAAAGATTCTGGCCTTCACCAGTGTTTTCTTATCTGGGATTTTTTGGTAACAGCCTACACACACTTAGGAGCTTTTCTTTTCAATTTCTGCGTGAAATTCCTGTATGTGCACATGGCCCTGCAGTCTCATGCCCTTTTATGGGCGTTAGTGTGGTGTTAACCTATGCTAATTAGGAACGACTGGCATGTGCTTTCAACTTATGAACACATGGGGTTTGTCATAAGAACAAAGGAGTGAACAATTTTAAGTTAAGTTAACTTTAAGAATGTGTTCATGACTCAGATGTAAACTTTTCTTAAGGGATTTTTTTAGGAATAAGTAACAAATCTAAGAACAACCTTAGAAAGACACTGGTGAATGAGGCCCAGTGGTATCATCAGGGCCTCCACTGTTTTCACAGGCCAAGTAGCATTAAACACACTGCAGCATTTTCAGCTCTGACTATTCAACAATTTTTTAGAGCTGGAGTCAAAATATTACTAGTGTGTACAAAGCCCTCACAGCGTGTAGCACCATTAAAAAGTAATCAGCTGCTGTTACAGGTCAACAGACAGTTTATACTTAGATAATGTCTTGGCTAAAAATGTGAATTAAAATACTTCAAGCCACTGTGCACTTGTCAACAATCAAGAAGAACAATGAAGGGGGATAATGTATTCCAGTGTGGATATCTATCCAATCTGTATCATGGTGAAATTTTACATCACCATATTGCTCATTATTGGCACAGTGCTGCAGTGGTCCAGGGTTCGAACACTAAGGCCCAGTGGTGCCTTTCTGTGTGCATGTTCTTCCTCATGTCTGCATAGGTTTTCTCCTCCCACAGTCCAACGGCATGCAGGTTAGGTTAAATGCCAACCTGTGAAGGGTGTGCTCCACCTCTCGCCCAATACTGGCAGGGAACGGCTCTGATAAACCCACTCTACGCTACGTGCCCAGCACAAAACAGCAGACAAAGGGTCTGTCCCAGTAACTGCACTTGTGATGAGCACTGATGTGTACTCACAATAATATCAACAAATCTATTCCTCTTAACAAGATTGATAATTGCATAACTGTTTGTCAGCATGAATTATAATAGCAACAACAAAGATAAAAGGAGAGTGAATATTCTGGTGCACAAAAAAAAAAAAAAAATGATAATGTTGCTCTGTGTGTGCGGGATGTGTTGCTAACACATTCAGAGTAAAGTAATCCACCAAGGACGACTATGAGATGTAGTTGAAAGCACTAGGAAAAGCTACAGACATTGAGTTAAGATCATAATTTCAAATTAATACATTATTTGGGGAGAAACAGGGGTAGAGATCTATAACTTGAAAATAATAAGATAAATGACTATCTTAATGCACAGGGCCTAGAAGACCCTATGACAAAATTAAATAAGCATATCACAGCTCATCTGCATCAAAAATTGCTATTAAGTATTTACTAATCCTCCATTTATACCATTCAACTTTGTACTTAAATTGATGACTTAATTAAAAAAAGTATGATAACAATGACAATGTAGTTGCCCTGCTCTACTGCATATTTACCCGAAACACAGAATATGAACTTGGAATGCAATTGCTGAGGAGTTCAAAAGAAAGCTTAGAGAAATCTGGGATCATAGCGAGACATCGCTCTCCATCCTTAGCTGAAGTAAGTTAAAACTACGTATATGCAGTTACCTCACAAATGAAGAAGTGTGGTTCCCACAAGTGCTACTCCACACGCTATCTCTTCACATCCTCTGTGACTGAAAATGAGTGGGTGGCTTAGATGTGGAAACATCACCGTCCACTTTCCAAGTCTTCCCATGTCCTCTTATCAAGGCAAAACACTTTTCTGCAAGACCAGGCAGAGCTTACATCAAGTGGATTTAGGTGGACTGAGGTCAAGGTCTAGTGGACTGAGCACCTCAGACTGGGCACAGAGGAGGTTTGGAACACAAGTGCTGCTCAGGTGCTTGAAGTCCACACATGCATCTGTTTGGCAATTTGCAGCACAAAGACGATGTCCGGCCGCTGGTCTGGCTCTGGGTTAATGCACATGCTAACCAGGTTCCGCAGCTGTGGAAAGTGGAATATATTAGTTTAAAGCATCAAGACTGATGTTATCATACACTGAAAACACCAAACCAACAGTTTGTCGTCAATAGTCTGAGTTCTTTTGCACATAAAAAGTATATGGCTAAATATATTAAAAACTACTGCCAATCAGTTCTTTTAAAACTCATAACTGAATTCAGCACCTCAAAATCCTTAAAAATATGCACATTTCACTTCAGAATCAGAGAACTTTTTTAAAAGTGAAGACCAGTGTATTTATGGGGCATAAAAATAAAAATTTTTGAGTGGAGGAGGTCACTAATATAGTCCTTTATTTTCATAACAGTCAGAACAGAATTATAACAGCTTGTCACTGTAGTGATGAGATATTACTCAAACAGGAGGAAACATTTTGTGCTCTAGTGAGAATTTGGGCAGCAGGACATCAGTGAAGCTCCATTGAACAGAGGAATGAGATATAATGAATCACACACAACACATGTTAGTAGGACAGTTAGTAGTTGGCTTTGCTCTGCACTGATTTATTGACAGTAAAATTTCATGCTAACTGTCATCTCAGAGGGTTCACACTCGGCTGCAAACCACCCCAGTACACACTGGAGGTCAAGGTCTGATGAAGCCAGCAAAACCACATCATCTGCAAAAAGCAGAGATTCAATCCTGAGGTCCTTAAACCAGACACTCTCTTCTGTACAGCTGCGCCTTGAGAACCTGTCCTTGAAAATCACAAACAAGATTGGTGACAAGGGACAACCCAGACAGAGAATGCCACCGACTGGGAACGTGTTTGACTTATTGCCAAGTATGTGGACACAACTCTCACTCTGGACCAGATGGCTCGTACCAGCGGCTCTGGTACTCCATACTCCTGAACTCCCCCCCACAAGATCCCCACAGGAACCTGGTTGTCAGCCTTTTCCAAGTCCACAAAGCACATGTCGACTGGATGAGCAAACTCCCAAGATCTCTCCAGTAACCCTGCAAGAGTAAAGAGTTCGTCCACTGCTCCATGACCAGGACAGAATCCGTATTGTTCCTTCTGGATACAAGATTAGAGCGTCCTTTCCAGCACCTTTACATAGGCTTTCCCAGGGAGGCTGAGTAGTGTGATTCCTCGATAATTACAGCACACTCTCTGGTCCCTTTTTTTTATTGCGCTACCACGCCCAGATTACGGACCCTGGGGCACTCTGCTGGAGCTAGACCTCGGAAGGGAGCTCTCCAGAGAGTATCTGGCAGCTGGTCTTGACCCATGGGGTCTGGTTGGGCACAGCATGAAGGAATGGCACAGAGCCACTGCTCTGTGGACCCACCATGTGCAGGGAAAAGAACTGGGGCCAGGTGCAATACAAGTCAGGCGGCAGGCTATGTCTGATACCTGAGCGTGTTGATCCCTGGCTGGACAGGCTAGTTCATACACCGCAATAACAACCACAATATTAATGACAAAAAAAACTACACAATTAGAATATGACAGACTTACTTGTAAACTGGTCACCTTTGAAGCAACAATTATAGAGACTGAATTCATGAATATTGATATTATTCATTGATTTATGTTACCATGCAGTGACAGGTTGACTAAGTATCTGTACACGAAGCACATTTTTTTCACCCTGGGAACAATGTGAGTGATGGTGTGGCTCAGCATGACTAAGGCAAGCGGTCAGTTCTGTGTTGCTCTACCTTCTCAGAGTAATGGTCAGGTGGGAGAGGAGGGTAGTCACACTGTTCGATCTTCTGGCAGAGAGAGAGGAGGTTCATCTTGTCCCCATAAAATGGACTCTGCAGCGCTGCCATCTAAAGAGGAAAGAGGAAGACAGCTTAGATGAGAGAAATTCTTGGGAGGGTACTGAAGTACTGACATGGGTGTAGACAATGAACATTAGAAATAAACTGTTTATTAGATTTGACTAGGACGACCTTTTCCCAGTGGTCAGAACCACTATTGTTTTGACTGACATCCAAGAGAATGTGCTGGTGCCTACACGCAAATGTCAGTGTGACCATTTATTGCTCCAATACTTCATACAGACTAGGACAACACACTAACACCATGGACAGTCAAATGAAATCTGATGTGGTAATCTAGTCATGATGCATTTTTCAGGTGACATCCTGGGCCTTTGTCTAGCACCACCTTCAAAGTTTCCCCTAAATCAACTCATGGCAACTCATGTATCTTTAAAACAAAATAACAGATATGAGTGGAATTTACTCTGAATATTCTTGGTCCTGATTAGTTGCATCACTGTCCTGAGGCGATAATGGTGCACTGGGTAGAGCAGTCGTCTCCCAACCGGGAGATTGAAGCTTCGACTCTCGGTGCCTGCAGTCCACATGTCGAAGTGTCCTTGGGCAAGACACTGAACCCTGCTGCCCGTGATGGCAGCGCGTATGCACACATCGGCCCAGAAACGGTCATCCAACTCTCAGATGTTTGTAACTCATGATAAATATCTTCACATACATTTTGTGAGTCAAAGTTTTTCTCAAATTTGGCTAGGCTGTTGCTTAAGGATGAGGCACAGTGATGCACCTGCTGGTTGTTGATCGCCCATTTGTCTTCTCTCTAGCCCCTTTCACACTGCCCATTCAATGTGGGATTTTTATTGCCAGTCTATCACAGGGCAAACATGTAGACAAACAACAACACACACTCACATTCACTCTTACGGGCAATTTAGAGTCGCCAATCATCCGACGCTGCATGTCTTTGGACTGTGGGAGGAAGCCGGAGCACCCGGAGAGAACCCATGCAGGCACAGGGACATGTTATATATTAAAAATGTACTTGTACAGGGACAGTAAACTCTGCAGTTTTCAGGGTTAAAAAAGTAAGAGTCAAGTTAAGTGTAAAAAACGAAAGAATGTTAAAAAATGTGAAAGATGTCAGGAGAGAAGAGAGGAAAAGTTGTTAAGAGTGAGAAAGTATGCAGTATTTCATGTGATGATGCAGCCAGACAACAACGCAGATACACAATGGTGCCCATTCAGTCTCTGCTGGCGTCTCAAAACCTTTCACACACACAGAGAATCTCCAGAATACAGGACTGTGGTGCCACTGTCTCAACAATGGCTAAGCATTCCAATGAAATACAAGGAAACATGATTAAGAACAGGGTTCATTATGTTCACAGTGGTGGCAATGATCTACATGGAGAGATGCTGGGAAATAGACTTTTTGTGAAAGAAATTAACTTGCTTTTTCCTGGTACAGCACATATATTGTACTGAATTACCACTCTGAGGTTGCATGCCTCTGCCCACCAGTCAAATTCAGTGGAATGGGACAGATGTCAGGTCACTGACCTTGACCTTTGGTCACCAAAAACCAGTTTACTAATCAGTTAATCCTTGAGTCCAAATGGGTGTTTGTGCCAAATCTGAAGAATAACCAGACAACTCGACCTGGACTTGACAAGCTTATATTATATACTGTCTGAACCTGACACGACCAAGATGCAATTGAGTTTGTAAGGTGTTTTTCCACTTCTCATGAAACAAAGCAGATATTTGAGTGCCCCAACCATCTAGCCTAAGGTTTGACCTACGTGTCCAACCCAGACCCGAGCATAATTTCAAAATTTCTGTCCGAACCCGGCCCAAGCCCAACGGGTCCTGTTGTGTTGTCGCACCAGGTCCTGTTGAGCTCGGTTTGGATATCCACGCTCTAAATCTATGTACAAATGAAATATCAACATTTAAGTTAATGCTCATGGTGCTGACGTTTTTAATTTTAATGGACCCCTGAGCTGCTTTTTTTCCACACCAACCTCAGGACCAACTAGTGTTTTATATGCAATGTGTACTATACACTGGTTTGCATAGCTAAAGCAGCGCATTAGGGGAGGAGTGTGTTTTGGTAGTGCTCAGACTCACTTTATGTGCTTTGGGTCACAGGAATATATCTGTTATGTCACAAGAGTGCGCTGGGCAACTGAAAAATGCAGCTTACTGTTTTTGTGTAGACAACACCTTAGATTCATTACTGGTCATCACCAATATGTTCACATTTTTTAAAATAATTTTGGGATGTATTCAACTCTGCAGCCTCCAGTGGAGGATGTTATTAATCTGAAACATTAACTGTCAATAAAGGTCAATATATACAACTTACCTCATACAGAAGGCAACCTAGGGACCAGATATCTGACTTAAAGTTGTAGCCATTCTCATGGATCCTCTCCGGTGACATGTAGTAAGGTGTCCCCACTGGAACAAAAAGAGTAAAAAAATACATATTATCTTGCTCAAAAACTTATTTGAGCAATCATTTTCTGAGTGTTGTACTATACTGCAACAGAGAGGTTTCGATAAACCCTCACTGAATCACCTATTATTGATCAATGGCTTAACACACTAGCACATAAAATGAACACTTAATTTACTGTATCATTAATGACATTTAGTATACTATTAATTGTGAATGTACATTATTTTTTAAATTAGCACTTATCGGTATAATATCACACAGCATAGTAAGCTCTTGTTATGCTATTAGAAAAGAAAACATGAGCAAAGCATTCATGTTGAAATGTATATGTACACTACCAGTCAAACGTCTGGCCACACTCTTCCACTGAATTCAATGGGAAAGTGTGTCCAATCTTTTGTTTGGTAGTGTATGTTATCTATGTACATGCATGTATAGCATTACCTAAGGAATGAGCTGCAGTTGTTTTAGAGCTGAAGAAGCGGCCTAATCCCAGGTCACCCAGCTTCACCTGCCCTGTGGCTGTTATGAACACGTTGGCTGGCTTAATATCTGGTTCACACACAAACACACACACATTTACACCAGGGACTCTCTACATAATTTTTCATTGTAATTACAATGTATTTTTGAAGTAAATGTGAAAAGTTTAGGCAGAAATGATCAGTATGGAGAGCAGTATTGTATTGGTCATGCTGTGACCAATACAATACTGTATTGGTCACAGCATGTACACTGCGTTATATACTCAACAACCATTTTGCTCTGCTTGCAGTTTTGGAATGGACAGACATGAGGACACTGTGACCTTAATCTTTGACTGCCAAAATCTCATCAGTTCATCACCGAGTCCAAGTGGATGTTTGTTCCAAATTCCCTTAAGTTATCCCTAGGATATCACACTCATGAGATTGGGATGGACATATAGACATGGACAACCCAATAACATAATGCCCTGGTCCATGTCTGTCAGCAGTATGACGGCATAAAAATATGGAGATAGTTTAGTGTGAATGATGTACAGTAAATGTGGACTGAGAGGAGAGTAAGTAAATCTGTGAGTAATTGTTTACCACGGTGCATTATTCTGCGTGAATGCATGTGTTCTAGAGCGCTGCACAGCTGCACAAAATATTTCCATATTGTCCTCTCTGGGATGAGTCGCCTCTTCTTCTTGAAGTACTATACACAGAGAAGAAGTCATTGTTATGCCACAAAAAGTTACAGTGCTTCTCAGAAAGGTGGCACATGCAGCATAATTAATGTGAAATGTAATGGAGAACGTAAAAGGAGAGTGCATTTTGGAGATAATTCCTAGATCATACTGGGATTTCAATTTCTGCTATTCAACCCCAATGTCTACATGTCAGTGATCAATTAATCTAAGTATTTTTAATTCCTCATTGTAACATCTGTTGAGTTTTGGCCATGTGTCTGCATTTAATCTATGGTAAATCTGGGAGTAATGCCTGACCTTGATCATCTGGGACAGATCTCCAGCATCTGCCAGCTCCAGAACAATACTGAGCTCACTGTCTTCAATGAAGGAGTCCAGGTATTTGATTACATTGGGGTGATTCAGCTGCTGCAATGGATAAATATGAGAAAAATAATTAGCTGGCATTTTCAGCCTGGCATTTGCTCATCTTAACACAGCACATTCAACACATACAGTACAGCAATACAATGCTGGAAAGCCTTTCAAATATCCTTTTCTCACTGACCCACTACAAACAATGACTGGTTGATCATCTTTACCTTCAGTAGATCTATCTCTTTAACACAGTCCTGACGAGCCTTGGCATCCATCATTTCAAAGATCTGCAGTGACAGAAATAAACATTAAAAAGTCCTTTCTGAGGTCACGAGCCTCTGGTTGTAAATGCACTGTCATGTAGTGGACATTGCTATACAGTTGTGCTTGTCATGAACTCCAGCTCCCCTTCCGGTAACTGGCTCTAATTTTTACAACACTTCCTGTTCCACCCAACCCTCACTCCCAGTGACTTTACCTTCGTTACACCAATGAACTTGAGTCTAACCTTTTGGACTGAACTCTTGGCTTCTCTGCTGTTTTGCCTTGTAATGCTGTGTGCCTCACTTTCTGCCTCTCTGGATTACTGAACCCTCTCTGCTGCTAAACGAGGACTCCTGCTTGTGGAGGAGGAAGTGTTTTTCTTGCCACGCTGACTGTCTCTGGGCCTTGTCAGAGCAACACCACTACTAGCACTCACCTCTCAGCTCATTTGTTAATGTTAATAAAGACTCTTACATGCTCCCTACAATACTGGCCTTTTAATTGGGTTCTCTGTTAATGGATTTACCGACCTTAGGGAGTGATATCACCAGTGCATGAATTTGGGAGTGTGAATGGCCAAATAGTGTGAAAGCAACAATAGAAAAGCACTATGCAAGTATAAGACCATTTACCAGACCAAAACCCAAAGATTTTCAGTTTGTACAGTGATATAAAATATAAAATCCTTACACTAGATGAACCAAAATTGGAGAATATCTGGTAATATTTACAGAATACATATTTGAAAATTATAATTATCAAAAAAACCCGTAGATTAATTCTTGATTACTGATGAACTGTCTAAGTTAGCTCTAAATTAAACCACACACACTGTGCTAATAAGTGCCTGTATGAATTTAGAATTCAAAATAAGGTCACATTATTCAAAGACACAGTCCTGATGCAGTATGAGACGCATGGCAGAGTAATGTACCTGGACTTTCTTGAGTGCAACCAATTGTCCCTCCAGCAAGTAGGTGGCCTTGTAGACCTCACTGAACTGGCCCCGACCAATCTTCTTCTCAATCCGGAAGTTTGCCAGAGTGGAGCAAAATTTACAGCTTGGCACATTTAGCTGTACAAGAAAACATCATGTTAAAATGTTTAATAACGCAGTGCATTACAGAGCTTTGTATCATCTAACTTACTCTCTAGAATACAATTTTTGGCTTTTAATCAGTCACCCCAAACTGCAGCTGTTTATTTCACTCAATAATTGATTCTGGCTGCCCTAATCAATACACCAAAGTCTGATCATTTCATTCTCACATTAAAAGTTATATGATGGTCTAGACTACAACAAGAGATGTTATTGAAGACGTCTATTCACACCAAACCATTTACATAAAATTTTAGGAATTGGCAGATATGTATGCGCTGATCCTACTCTGCAGTGGTACAAATAATACTTTTCCTTTGCCCCTAGTAAGTTCTCCAGAGTTAGCTTAGTTATTAGTCAGTAAGCATATATTTTATTTGTGGTTACTGAGCGGTTTGTTGACCAATGTTAGTTCAACAAACTGTATGTAACTATACAGTATGTTGTGTTCTGTTCATTTTCTCTTCTCGTGCTACATTTGGTCTAACTGCATATTTTAACATTAACTGTAAATATGTCAGGCTCCATAGAAGTGCCAGAAATCGATGTAATTGGATAGTGCATGGCCATTATTTATTCATTTGTTGTTTAATTTCATTGTACATTTTTGTGTTTTTGGAGGTCTGATACCAGAAGGTCAGCAGACCATTCAGTCGGCAGACAAAGACGAGAGAAATCCTCATATCATTGTCCTATTTAGAAACTAATGAAGTAAAATGCATAGTGAATAGCTGTGCTGTGTACCACAAACATATGAAAGTATACAGTATTAAATATAACGATACCTTGTAAAATGTTAGGTCGGAACTGTATGTTGGTTCCAACCCCCCGACCCCCAGTTTAACCACTGTGTCTAATAACATTCTAGATAGGTGTCCTACCTGATTCTCCTGAGTTGCTATTTTGCAGAGATTGTTGTGGTTGTCTAATGTGGGCTGGTTGTTATTCTGTGGCTCCATGGCAACATCACACCCTCCTACTGTAACAACCAACATAACATTTAAATTGTCATTTATTCAGCGCATTTACAATCACAGACCATTTTACGTCACAGAGTATAAACGCACAAAATCTCTAACTGAAGTGATAAGAAGCAGGTGAGCAATAACATATGAAAGCAAGGTACTGTCAGACAAGCTGCACGTGGCTCACATGAATTAGACCAGAACAGAAAACATTTGTAGCTTATTTGGTAGTTTGTGTCAATGTATATTCAGTGTCCCTAGTCCCTAATGTTGCATAAATGACTACAGTATGCACATGGAAACTGTTCACATTAGTTAACAGGGCTGAGGAATATGCATGTGCTGACAGTTGCCACATTACTATTCAGTACTAAGACGGTAAACATTTGTCAGTATTTTATGTTCTCATGACCAACTGGGTGAACTCAAAAGGAAAATAATAGTATTATTTTATGAAACTGGAATTTTTTAAAATTCACAAAACCGAGCGCTTAAAGACTGTGCCTCTATGATAACAATATTCCAGCCTCTCCAGCACAGATAAATGTCATGTGAACTTTTATGAAAACCAGAAAGCTCTCAGAGAGTACACACATTCTCCCATGCTGCAGAGCTGTCTACATGGTATTATATCATTTACACAAATTTACCTTCCTGCCTCCTCTTCAAGTACAACATATTCAAATGCTACCAAGTTTCTTGTTCTCTGCACCAAAATATCACTTTTGTTAGTCATCACTCAGTCTTTCAACTTCCTTTCAGATGCTTTCAGATCAGTTTTTTTCTTTCAGCAACAGGACAGGCGCTTAACAAATAAGGAAATGTATGAGAACTATTGATCGTCTGTCGCAAAATACTGACTTCAAATAATTTTAATGTAATAAAACTTTTGTTGCATCCAAATTGAACAGTGCATTTAATTATAAATCAGCAAACACATTAAACAGAGTTCTTGACTAAAGAAAGAAATGATTTGTGAAAATAACTTCGATACAGTATAAAAGATTTCAAAAATTCTTCTCTTTATGAATACTGAGCAATGACACATACTATAATTCACCTATGCAGAGTATCCGCACACTTTTCAATAACAAATTCACCAATATTTAACACCCATAACTTATTGAACCCTAAAACTGACATGTAAAAGGTTATCAGACAAGGAACATTGTTTTTAAACATTTCAATGATTTTCTCACACATACTGTATGTTACCAAACTGGTGGTCATCGGTCCATCTTTGCTCCTAAAGGGCTCGGCCTTTCCTGGATGCTACTTTTGTAGCGTTTCTGAACATATAGTAGCAGAAGCTTCATATAGACATGTTTAATTAGTTAGCTAACAGCTAATATTAGCATGTTACTTCGCTATAGTGTATATAGAGATGGACAACTGTGGCTCAGTGGGCAGAGCGGTCGTCTCCCAACAGGAGAGTTGGGGGTTCGAATCACGGTGCCTGCAATCCACATGTCGAAGTGTCCTTGGGCAAGACACTGAACCCTAAGTTGCCCCCAGTGGTTAGAGCCATCGGTGTGAGTTGGCGCCGCAGATGGCTGCCTCAGTTCTGTACTGGAAACAAATTCTTTGTGTGTGTAACATACTTGGCCAAATAAAGGTGATTATTATTAGAAAGCCAGGAAATTAGCCTTTTATTTAGATTTGTAGTGCAAGTCAAGTTGTATTTATATCTGCATTTCTTGATATGGTCAGAATTTAGAGAGAGTTTGGGCTCAGAACAGTTTGCTCCATGGCTGCTCCTACCAGCACACAGACTGGTAGAAGGGTAAATGTGTGGAAGAGGTGCTGAGGCTGTGGAAGACTGGACAGAGGACATCTAGTGGGCCCAACACCAGAGGTGCTCAGCGCTGAAGATACTGCTCATGTGACAATCTGACAGCACAAAGGACTGCATTTGAACATGTGTGTATATAAATATACTGTACATCTCTGTTCTGAATATTGTTTATCTCACTTTTTTAACACATCACTCTGGGCAACAACAAGTCATTGAGTGATGTGTTTTAAAGCCACCATCCAAAATCTAATCTTCATAACCATGCTGCCTAATATAACTACAATGAGGTTTTCACACTTTAGACAAACCACAAATGGTCAGACCGATATTAGGGATATTCATTGAGTCTTTGTGAAGATATGGCTTCCTGCTGGGGGCTTTAAAGCAACCCTCTCAGGTACACCGGCCACTGGCTTCCTGTCACAGCTGACACGTGACTAATTTTAGCCAGTTATTTGACCTTGAATTTGCAGGCATCCTCATAGCCCACAGGAACCTTCGCTTCAGCGCCACCCACCCTGCAGCCAGAGCTCAGTCACTTACTCCCAACCCCAGTGCTGCTAGGCCTACTTCATATAATGTGTGTAATATTACTTTATACCCACAAAACACGAGGCTCTGCTTTCACGCTGCAAGTCAAAATGTCTCGTGTTTACACGCTGCGCGTAAAACTGTGCCATGTTAACACGGGGGCGTGTGTTACATTGGCGCAGTTATGTCAGCGACTAGACTTGGTCTCCTACGTTGTATATTATCACATTTTAAGTCGAACACAATAGCCTATCCATTACCTTATTTATTAACTTAAAAGGACAAGAAAAGGTGACCAGGTTGCGTTGTAATTAAACGTTCATAACTGGTTCCAAATTGGTTTTATACAAAAATATGTAAAGAAAATTGCGTTTTGAGGAAGAAAAATACGGCAGAAATGCTACAGCGGTTTCCTGTTAGGGAAAAAGATATCTTAAAAGCTCTCAGTTATGCTCTCAGTTAAACACCATCATAGCTTAATTTAGCTGGACTGGCAGGCAGGGGGAAATTACATTGACTTGGCAGTGACCACATGCAGAAGAAAAACGTGGCCACATTAAATGGAATTGCATTTCAGCCTCAAAGTTATGTACTTTATTAGTTTTCTGTCCTGGTCTGACATAGCACAGGCCACATACAGTTTAAAACTGCGAAAAGGGTCCGTCTAAACCTGACAGCATGGATCAACGCAGCCTCTTGTCCGTCCGAGGCAGCGGGTAAATATCATTTCCATATGGTCGCCCGGAGCAATACGCTAGGGTTGTCGCTAGCTAGACATGTGCTACGCAGATTTAGCAGCTTTCTAAACGAGTAAACAAAGTATACCGTGGTCCTCAAGATGTTCTATGCGTTACAACCACACAAGTAAATGTCAGCGAAGTTGGCTCCTGCATAAAGTTTGCAAGTCGTTTTTAAAGGCGTCACCGATGGGTTACAGACATATGTTCACAACGTGCGCTTCATGTCTTACCTGAAGAGGAATCAACAATGTCCTGTTTACTTGGAAGCTTTTAACAGTTTCCACGATTTGCATTAGTCCGTGTTGTGCAGTTCCGATATACAGACCCCCTCCCCTGAGTGTCTCTCTCTGGTTCTCTGGTTCTGTGGTTTGTGCCTCTGCTGCCACGCAGGCTGTTCAACTGACTTTGAAGACAACTTAGTGAATTAGAGGAGGGACACTTAAATGTCTAAAACCTCTGCATAGTAAAGTGGCGGCGAGGTTGTGGTTAGAAAAGTAGGTCAAACGCCAAAGCTCCCTCTCTCCTCACTCGGCCCCCTGCATGTGGGATGGGGGCTATTGTTTGGCGATATATGATATAAGAGAACACACGTGACAGAAGGTTTAAGAAAAACACAAGTCACTGGGTTTGATCAGACTGCAGTCTGATGTTTTTGTATATGTCATCATATGTAGAAAACAGGAAACACTGAAGCCACATATTCTCAAATAAAACCAATTAACATCTATGTTAACATAACGTCTGATATTTTGGTCAAGTACACATCCGCAGTCTACACACTCACTTAGGAGGATTTTATCTGCCACACAACCAACCCGTGATTAATTTACACATTACCGGTGGTGGAAAGTAACTAATTGCATTTACCTAAGTATTTTACTTCTGTACAATTTTGAGGTAGGCCTACCCGTATTTTATTTGAGAATTTTCATTTTCTGTTAGTTTGTACATCATCGCTGCATTTTAGGAAAAATATTTTACATTTTCTGCACTACATTTATTTGATAACTTTAGTTACTTTTCAGAATCGAGGGCATATAACAAAATACAGTGTAATTACAACACTTTAACAACCAAAAGAAACATGGGTAAGTAACTGCCCCTCTACTGTAACAGCTGTGGTTTGTGTCATTTAAGCTAGTTTCGGTTATATTTTTACAAGGTTATCAAGGTCTCAACCCCCTGTTTGTCTCTGCACTCACAGCAGTGTGGATTGGTTTTGCAAAGAATTTCTGTGGTTTCCTTTTGGTGCTTCTTATGGCTTTGGGTGAGTGACTATAATGTGCATGAGTAAAATCTGAAACAGTAGGTTTTATTTCAGTCCCTGATATGGGTTTTGGATAAGCTCTTATTACATTTGTGTATTTCAGGAATTACACACATTCACCTTCATTTAATCAAGGTCCAACAGGAAGTGTACTCACTTTGACAGCAGATGGACAAGTTTGTTCCTCTGGTAGACACAATATCAAACTTTGCCTTAGAATCACAAGGAAAGCAATCCTTAACTGTGTCACTAGGATTCATACATGCATTTTATTGTGGAACTGATTTAGCTGATACCTAACTTTGCCACTGGTTGTGATGCAGGTGCCAGCATATTGCAGCATCGCTCTTTGGGCACATATTGGCCCCAAAATTACATTGGACTACTGATAGGATAGAAAATTCTCCTGGAGGGATACATCTAAAACACAACAGAGAGTGATTCAGGTATGAATTACACAGCTACATTCATATATTGTTAGAGTATTAGTCATTGTTCTAAAGCGTACTGTAATTAGGCCTTCATCATTATGTCCTGAGCAATGTTGGAGTTTTTCACTGGACCATGGCCATGTTTGTTCATCTCCCTGACCTACCCAGTCTCCATCATTCACATGACACTCATACCATAACAAAAAGCCAGTCCCCCTGCAGAAACATTGCAAGTGCACCAATGCAGTTTTCTATCTAAATGACGCATTCTGTTATCACAAAGATGTCCTGCATAGTTGTGTTATTTCCACAGTGCATATGACCTTTTAAACTGATCTCTGTGTATTTATCTTTCAGGAAGTGAGGGCCACAGATGAGGAATGGACCTATTTGGGAACACTGGTCTATGATGAAGATGGTGCAGCATTTCACTGGCCACATTAAGTGCTTGCTTGTTTGTTGTGTCTTGATGTTTTTTTCCTCTCCTCTGTCAACTCACCCTAAAAGACCAAGGCAGTATGGCTGCCCACCAAGAGCCTGGTTCTGTCAGAGGTTTCTTCTGTTAAAGGGAATTTTTCCTGAAGTGGACGTCCAATATCAGCACCATCAACAAGAAGGCACAGAAGAGGATGTACCTTCTGTATCAGTTCAGGAAGTTCAACCTACCCCAGAAGCTGCTGATACAGTTCTATAGAGGCATCACTGAGTCTGTTCTCAGCTCTTCCATCACTGTGTGGTTTGGCAATCAAAGAGGACAGGAACAGACTCCAACAGACATTCAGGACTGCAGAAAGAACCATCGGTGCCAGGCTACCCTGCATGGAGCACCTGTACACCTCACAGGTCAAAAGGAGGGCGGAGAAGATTTCTGGAGACCCCTCACACCCTGTACACAAACTGTTTGACCTTCTCCCCTCTGGACAGTGCTACAGGTTCACTGTAAGCCAAAACAACCAGACACAAGGACAGTTTTTTCTCCTGGGCCGTCACTCTGATGGACACTTAACCCATGCTTATGTGTATAACAAGATGCAGCGAACAATACAGTAATTATTTTAAAAACTGAATAGCTAATTTTTAAAATCTTGTATATGTGTGCATATTATCTGGTTTTTATTTGATTTTTATTCTGTTTATTTGTGAGCATCAGGAGCCATTGTGTTTTAATAATACTTGGCAATAAAGTTTGTTTGTTTGATTGATTGATTGACATAGACATATGTGATACTAACTAACTTAATGAATAAATCACCCCAGCACATACAGTTTGTATAGGACACAAGGGAGACACTGGCTTTAACTGTTGTTCAGAGTATAAACCCCCTGTCTGTAATTTTAATTGTCTGCTAACTTCTTTATCTGTACTAGCTGTATGATATAGGTGGAGCTGCTATGTAAAACAGATTCAAAACATGTAAATACTGTGTATGCCACACAATCACCAGGTGCACCTGACTGTATTTATTAATGCTGTCTCCTTCGTGAATACATACGGTCAACGGCGTCTTCGGATATATGAAGCCACAGGTCGAGGAAAACTGTGGAAACATTGACCATACTTGTGTCTACAGCTTCAGGGTTTGTGGTAAACTCCCCACCTGACGGCACTTTTACTTAACTTGGAGAGATATCTACTAAACGGAGATTCGGAGGACCTTATGTAACGTTTCCATTATCATCGTCATGGCAAAAGATTTTTAGGTAAGTATCCCAAAGGCTTATATTTATCGGTCGCTTTTGACCCTCTCCAAGTAATTGATCTAAGTACATTTGATTATTAATCAGCAATAAAACATCAGAAAGTATACGTTTATAGTATTGTAGAGTAGCCTACAGGTAAAGTAAATAACACCTACCTATATTGGCCACATTGGCAGAAAATCTTATCACGCGACCCAATCGTCTACAATATGCAGTATGGGAGCTGTAGTTTCTAGTACTAGATTGTTCTGCATTTAAATAAACATGTTCTACAATAGAACTACAAGTCCCAGAGTTTCGCGGGAGGCAGAGCATGATTAACGCATGTAGGCAGACCATGGCGTTGTACAGGTCTGTGTGACAGGTTAGCATTAGAAAAACACCTCCGGACAGACGCGTCTGCGCACTGTAATCTGCTGCCAGCCACGGCAGTGTGAGAAATAAGGATGGGGTCTCGAATCAAGTAAGAATGTTTGTCCGCTGCTTTGCTGGAGGCTGTTAGTAGTTTGCTGCTCTGTTAGCTTTGTTCCAGTGAGTCACTGGAAGATACATTATAGTGCCAGGCCCTGACTTGTTGCGACACCGGTTAAAACACTGGCACTGTACTGTTCTGAATTAAAAAACTGTGTATTTTAAATGTAAACCTTTATATGGTTTTGAAGTATACTAGTCATTTACATGTTGATAAAACATTCGGGCACAGGTTGAGACAGATAGGGCTAACATTAGTAGTGATTTAGGAGCATAGTTCTGTAGCATTAGGCTGCGCATAGCTAGTGTAAACATGACAACTGTGACCGATTTCCATCTTAAACTGGGCGCTAGTTTCCACTTTTCAGTACAGAAATGCTGGCCTTTGGCAGATGTATTTGTGTTTACCTGTAGCCCAACTCAACTCCTCTGACATGATATAAATACTGTAGGGCTACGGCTAATCTGTTATTAGTGTTAAACACAAAATAAACAAAGTCATTTTGGTCTTGTTTTTGTGTCACGTTATCGTGTATACACAAGAGATTACTCAGGGTTTGAGTTACAATTGTTGTAGTAATATTAATGTCACTTTTGCACCATCACAATAGTACAATTTAATAAAGATGCATTGATCTTTATGAAGCTGTGAACTTGGCTTCACAAGGACAGTAATACTACTACTAATAATAATAATAATAACACTAAGTTGTCAAAATCTTGTTAGTAATATAATTTTTGCACATTGCAGACAAGACATTTTCAGAATCAGCATATCGTGGACGACTATGGCAAGGTCCCAAACTTGTGTGGGACATCTTGCTCATTAACAAATGTGTTTCATAAAACTGATTTTGTTGTTGGTAAACACCCCAGTGTTTTATTCTTTAACATCAGTGTGGCAGTTATTGGATTAGCATAAGATGTATTATGATGAAATGTCACAGTTTATGCAGCCAGTCTATGTTAACTATGACTTTCTTCAAGGATAAGGCCAGTGATTTTCTGTGTCTTGGTTATTTTCCGTAAATTCTGTACAGAGACTAAAGAATTTTGTGTACTCAGTGTAATGTCTGTAAATTAGGCTGTCCACCTGTGCTGTAGACCTCCAGTGTTGTCCAGAAACTGTTGAACACACACGAGCGAGCCACCTGCACTCAGTGACATGCTTCTTTCTCATGAACAATGTGATACCTATCTTTTTTACAAAGATCACCAAAGGTTACTTTAACAGGCAAATAATAAAGTACTAAAGTCAACTGGTCAAACAGTCGAGAGGTCTGTCAGTCAACTGAGACTCTTCTAGTTGAACCTTTGTTTTATTAAATTTTATTTTTTTGTCGGCAAGTGTGCATTACAATAGAAGGCAGTGCCGACCTCCATTATGTTTTCATATTCTCCTTATTTTGGTGCACCAAGAACCAATTTGCTCAATTCTTCCCTCTGGGAGGAATATCCATTTCAGTGATGACACTGTAAAATGTACGGATGTGGGTCCAGTGACACTATTTAGCAAATTGCTGCCCAGAAAAAGGAGAAAAATATAACAAAATTTACTAGGACAAGACACACAAAGGTGAGAGTTGTACTTTATTAAAAGTGTTTTTCAAACATTATTGTCTGCTTATACAAGAGAAAAGACTAACAGTTTTGACTGGTTTTGCAATTTTGCATTGGTTCAGTTTACCCACCTTTGTTATGTTTCTGCAAAATACCTCCATCTGAGAAGGACTAGGAAGCTAACAAAAATGTGGTGGGAAAACATTTCAATGATGAATTATAATTCAGAGGAGGCGTCAGTATACAGTCATGGCCAAAAATATCGGCACCCCTGCATTTCTGTCAGGTTACACACCTCTTCTCCCAGAAAATTGTTGCAATCACAAATTCTTTGGTATTCTCATGTTTATTTCTTTTGTTTATATTGGAACAGCACAAAAAGCTGAAGAAAAAAAGCCAAATCTCATCCATTCCACACAGAACTCCAAAAATGGACTGGACAGAATTATTGACACACTCAACTTAACAATCAATCACTTCCTGTAACCATCAGTGAGTTTCTTCCACCTCTCTACTGGAATTATGGACCACTCTTCTATTGGCAACTGCTCCAGGTCTCTCAGATTTAAAGGGCTCATTCTCCCAGCTTCTCTCCAGAGGAGCTCTATGGGATTTTGATCTGGACTCTTTGCTGGCCACTCTCCAGAGATTACCAAAGCATTTGTGATTGTAACAGTTTTCTGGGAGAAGTGGACAGAAATGCAGGATTGCCAATATGTTTGGCCATGACTGTATAGTCTTATGTTCTGTAGTAGTGCAGTTTGGCACATATAAAACATAATAACAGGTGCTGCATAACTGAAAAATGAAGCTCAAACTAGGCTATAACCATGTCTCAACAGAAATACAAGTATGCTGCTTGTCTCATTATTCAAACAAATCCAGTTTAATTAGGTCTCAGTTTCAATCTTGCATCATATGCAGCTGTCTTTATTGATTTTTAAATGCTCAGAAAAAGGTTCATGTCACTCCTATGCGTTTGAATACAGATGTTAATGTGGTCAGTCATCACTGAAATTTATGCTAGTTGATTTTCTCATAGTCTAGGACATACAGTATATAAAAAAGAACAAATAGTCACACAGACAGTTGACCGACAAATGTCCTAGCCAGTTACAGCCCTGTTCAACAGATATACTTCCCAAAAGACCTCTGGCCAACTGACCAGTGTCCTGTGCTCACTGTCTGAATATGACAACAGGGTTACATCCCAAGTCTCTTACATGATCTTTCCTCGACCTGGAGTTGCTCTGATTCTGATACTCTTGACCTGATCTGTGCCTCACCACAGTTTAGTTTAGTTTTTACAGAGAGTTTTTTCAACTTCATGACTTGGTGTTTGTCCTGACATGCAGTGTGAACTGTGGGGTCTTATACTGTATACAGTGCATGTGTATGCACATGCGATGATCAGTGTACATACTACTTATGTGTATGCACATGCGATGATCAGTGTAAACAGAATACACCTGACCACAGTTTGGAGTGTCACAGAAAAGGCTCTGAATAATTTTTGTAAATGAGAGATTCAGTTAAAGCACTTACAGCACATGAGTGAAACAGCATGGTATTAATAGTAGGCAAGTCTGCAAATTTTGGATTGAAACAATTTTGGACTATGCATAGAACAGGCTAATGAACTGTCTTCTGTTCCAGGGAGAGTCCGGAGTCCACTTTTGAGATGTATCTCGAGGTAGCCCAACCAGGTACACACAGTTCTGGTAAGTCTGTGAAGGCTGGAGGGACAGTTAATCCTGGACTACGTGCATCTTTATTACACTGATTGTAAGAAATGAACACAGCAGAAGTGATGTGAGAAATGATGGCTGAGGTGTTGCATCTTCATACTACAAAAATTGAGGATGAGCGTGTTACAAATGAAAATTGTATCATTACTGAAACCTATGAAGCTTTTATGTTTAAAAGGTTGTAACAGCTGATATCGTATTTACCATGTGAGGATTTACACAATGAGCAGGTTATGGATTATGTCTGAGAGCTGCACATTTACTCAGAAAGCAGAGTAATCCGATTTGATCACAGACTAATGCAATTTGGAGATCATATTTTCTCAGGTATGAGCAAGACACATGGTGGGCCTGGTGATGCTAAGAAAAGACAACAGTGTGCTTGAAATATGACTGCAGTATCTTCACTTCTAAGGGCTACCAGTGTTTTTATTCAAGCCATTTATGAGATCCTTGTAGAAGCCAGAGTTCAGCTCTGTTCACAGCTTCTTTGGTTTTATCTGTGGCAAAGCAGCCTGCAGAACTTCATGACAAAAGAGCTTATAATTTCAGCACTTTTTAAGACAAACATAGTATTGTTTCATTGAGGTGTAGAGCTAACAGTACTTTCCAGCCACATCTGTGTACTCTGGACTTGGCCATATGGATGCTGACATGCATGAGTTGTTGTGGAAAGTGAACTATTTGACAGTGGCAAACATAGAATTCTTGGTTTTGAGTTAATTTGCCAAAGCACCTGTGAAAAACTGTAGAAAGGTACTCATTGTTTATGTGATGTAGTTAAATGACACTATAGTGGGAGTTATAACAGTGTCTCTGGGCTGTTGCGTCATTAATGGCACAACCTTTTTGTGTTACTGTGTCGCAATTAGGTTAACACATTTCCACATGTGTGGAAAGACCCAGTAAACCCAGTTTCTCAGTTGATTCATTATAAGTGGTCACATGTCAAAATGGTTGGGAAGAGCAGGCTTAAAGCTAAATGAAAAATGGTGGTTCATCTCATCTCTTCATCTGTGTCTGAGGCTTTTTTTAATGCTGTACATGACTAATTTCCTGGGTACCGAGGAGAGGCTTTCGGCTGTGTTTCTAAGAACTTCTTCCTGTTGGAGTCTTGTGCCTCTCATCATTTCCTGTTCAGTTTTAAAAGTGCTATATCCATCTTTGTGACACACTATGGTTTTATATATGTCAGCAAAAATCTGATGTTACTCCGACAGCATGAGCATTAAAATCTAGTTTTGATGTGGAGAAGGGAACAGTTCTTGTATTTCTAAAAAATCCTTTTGTTTGCAAAGACTCTGACATGAGGCATCGGTGTGACACTCAGCATTTTGCAGTGAAATGGGTCATCTGGGACATCTTAGGCAATAGACACGATGTGATTTAGCAGAAATCTATATTGAAGGCAGAGTTTGCTAAAATAGGTGTTATTTGTTATAATTAAATAAGTTGTATCATCCATAATATTTCCATGTGAATTCTGCCATCCTGGCAAACATTTGGCCAGAAATAGAGTATGTGTACATTATAACAAACATGTGACAGTTAGTTAGATTTGTGATTATAAAACCTTGAGCATTAATCTGCCTCCACTCCTCTTGGATGGCTTTACTCCAAATACTGGATTTTTCATACTGATAGAGATATTTGGATGTTTAAAAAAATCAATAGATCAGCCCCAATCTAAAAATGTATACACAGGTTTCTGTGATTTGTTTTAATTGAAACGGTTCAGATAAGATAGATAAGATAATCCTTTATTGTCATTGTAACACATACCATGAAATTTTAGAGTGACCTCCAGTCGGTACAGCAATAGAAAAAAACACAACATATGAAATAAGACCATATAAAAAAGATAACCACTAAAGAAACGAAATAAACAACAGACCACTCACGCCCCCCCCTCACACACACAGGCATATTATACTTTAGCAGCATTGAGTGTGGTAACTGCTGTTCGGTAAAGACTATTCCTGAATCTAGTGGTCCTTGATTTGATTGCTCTGAACGCCTACCTGAAGGCAGAAGTTCAAAGAGTGAACGTCCTGGGTGTGAAGTGTCCTTAATGATGTTCTGGGCTTTTTTAGGTCGCGCCAAGTAGACCTGACAGTAGCAAATTGTTCTCTGCACCACACTATCAGCCTCTCCACCTCATCCCTGTAGGTAGACTCATCCCCCCCACAGATAAGCCCCACCACCATGGTGTCATCAGCAAGTTTTACAATGGTGTTGCCGTGGTGGGTGGGGGTGCAGTCATGGGTGTACAGGGTGCAGAGCAGGGGGCTCAGCACACAGCCTTGAGGTGAACCAGTGCTGAGGCTCAGAGCCGTGGATGTGTGTGGGCCCACTCTCACCCTCTGGCTACGTCCAGACAGGAAGCTCTTAATCCATATGCAGGTGGAATATGGAATTCCCAGGTCCACCAGCTTGTCCACCAGTTTGTGGGGGAGGATGGTGTTGAATGTGGAGCTCTAATCCACAAAGAGCAGCTGTGCATAGTTCTCCTTATGCTCTCAAGTGGGACAGCACGACGTGGAGGGCTGTGGCTACGATGTCCTCTGTGGATCTATTTGCCCTGTATGCAAACTGGTGTGGGTCAGATGTTGGTGGGAGGAATGATGTAATGTGTCCCTGTACCAGTGTCACACTGGGTGTGACATTGTACCTTGTCAGTGCTCTCTGGTGGACAAATGATGTAATGGTGGCGCTCAACTCAAACCTAGTCGGGCATTTCTGCACTGATGTTTCTTGTTACTTATACACATACAGATACTGTGTATCTGCAGTAAGCTGCAATTCAGACACAAGAGCATTAGTGAGGTCCACAAAGCACATCCCAGATGTGTTGGGGTTCAGGTCAGGACTCCACTGGTCATTCTCTGCCAAACTGGATAAACTATTTCTTTATAGAGCTGGCTTTGTGCACAGTGCCATTGCAATGTTGAAACAGTAAAGGCACAAACACACACTGTTAACACGGTTGGAGGAACAGTAAGTATGCTCTGTAGTGATGGTGTTGTGCAACATATCATTAAATCCACTTACCAAATTCATTATTACTAATACGTCATTTCTAACAGGGCCGGAGGTGCGAAGGCAGTTCCCTGAAGACTACACAGACCAGGTTTGATACTAAACAGTTTTGATTTTCCTCTGTGTCTCACCCTCCTCACAACTATTCGTTGGTCTCTTTTTTGCAGTTCTTCCCCTGTAGTTTTTTTCTATTTTCTTGTCTGTTGTATACAACCTTAACCCTTACTAGTGTAAACATCCCAGCTCACATAAATAAGTGTATGTCAGTGAAGGTACAGACAGGTCTGGCTGTACTGTCACATACCTACAATACAATAAATTGTCTGTGCAGATTCTCAGTCATCCAGGTCATAGTAAACTGAAAAAACTTCAGTATCCAAGAGGCTTCTGTGATACTATGAAAATCTCATACCGTTGCAGCCCTAGTAACGTCATTAGTACATACTGATGGTTAAACATGTAACTACTGTACTCTCCATTTGTGTCCCATAGGAAACTCTTCAGACTGTGCCCAAGTTCTGCTTCCCATTCAGCATGGACAGGTATATACACAAACACTTGGGTTATTTTAGTTATTATAGTTGTGAAAACACTTGTTGACCTAATGCAATCTCTAGCACTTTTTTGTTAAGTTTTAAATCTTACATGCAATCACTGGAAACCCTGCAATAACTCTTTTACACATGGGACAGAGCCTGCTAGCAGGGTTGTGATTAAAGGCTTGTGATATGTCCATTCATCCCTCTCTCCTCTCATTCTCTGTTCCTCTCTCTGTCTGTTGGCTAAACCTCTCTTACCCTGCAGCCTGACAGTCAACCAGGTTGGCCAGAATTTCACATTTGTGTTGACTGACATTGAGAGCAAACAGAGATTTGGTTTCTGTCGCCTGTCCTCGGGTGCACACACCTGCTACTGCATTCTCAGGTGAGTGCGTGTGGCCTGAGATTACTCATGTTGTGTATATCTGTTTACACAGTTACAGTGAGGACTTAACATCTTTATGGGGACCAAAAAGCAGTTCCCCAAAATGTAAATCATTACATTTTAGAGTGATGACTTGTTTAGGTTAGGGTAAGTCTCCAGGAAATGAATGCAAGTCAGTGTAATGTCCCCTGACGTAATGGAAACACGATGTGTGGGTGGGTGTGTGTATGTATGTCTTTATGAGGACCTGTTTGAAATTTATACCTCGGGATTGAGGCATTGTGGGTGGAGGGGGTATTGTACGATGCATGAATGTACAGTAAGGGGTGGCACCGTTTTAGAAAATGTCAAATGAAATTATCTTTATGATGTGCTGTTAGGCCCGGCTCTATAACTTACCAACAGCGTAATGTTTAGCTTTTTTGTTCTCTCAGCTACCTGCCATGGTTTGAAGTCTTCTACAAGCTGCTTAATATCCTCGCAGATTACAGTATCAAAGGCCAGGTAAGTGTGACAGTGATTCCTCTTGTTTTGTGGACATTGCATTAACAACAGTTGTCTTGACTTCCATCAGGAAATAGCCAGCCATTTTCTTCACAGCAGCTTGCTGCATGTCAGCTCTCATCAGTATTTTACAAAGTTCTTCAGACATGGAGAACAAGAAAATGTCTACTGGAAGAGACTGCTGTAATATTTACATTTACTGCACATGTGTCAATTGGACAATTTCTGACTGCCAGAAGCAGCATGCTACCATTTCTTATTCATGCTTGTTCACAACCAGCTGAGGGCTACACTGTGAACTTCAAAAGAATTATTTTGGTTTTGGAGTTATATTTGTGTTTTTGCATAAGAATATGTTTTTAAATGGCCAGTGCATGGATTTTGGATCTACAAAATGTTTCAGGAAAGCCAATGGCAAGAACTACTGGTATCACTACATACACTCCCCATCCCTGAACCTGGAGTTCCTGTTCATCTCGGCATGGTGAGTCTGACTTCACGACATCACATCCAGTTGAGCTCAGTTTGAACTAGAAACACAGCAAGTATCTCTTTTCCTCCCAAAGACAAATAATGCTACTGCTTTAACTTGAGGAAGGTTGACATTTTCAGTTTTGAAGTATAAACTGTTACCACTGTAGAAGAGGTTTTCAAACACTGAGGTGTACTGCCCCAGGGCTGCATAAGAGAGTTGCAGGCACAGAGACGTGATGCAGGAATACTGTGTGAAGGGAAAAGGACAAATGCATGGACATATATGAATGCTCTCCCATTCTTTGGCAGATGCAGGAATACTGTGTGAAGGTAAAGGGACAAATGCATGGATATATATGAATGCTCTCCCATTCTTTGGCACGTTTAGTTGTATATTATTGACTGACTATTAAGGGGGTGGTATACAGGCAATTTAGAAAAAAGAGTGATAATCTACAAGCTACATACAAATTTAATATAAAGTTAAAGTTACCTCTTTTTCCAAATGCTATGGGTTTTTTTATCTTCCTCCTCCTCTTCCCTCCTTCAGAGGAGTCATCTGACTCAGAGACAGTTAATGAAGACCCTCCTTTTGTGGGACCCTGTAACAGCCACAAAAATCAGAAAATAGTTTTTCTTTATAGATCTTTCTCTGATTTTGCACTTGATAAAAACACTCTTCTTGTAGTATACTTGTATTATTTGCTGATATTGGCATAACAAATTAATAAAGTAACAACCAATCAGACTTATTTAGACTGTGGAAGTAGTCTTCTGTATTGGTTTTTAAAGGAGCACACTCTGGGTACCTTTTGAAGTTGATGAAGGGCCAATCTTCACTGGGTTGAGAGCTTTCTCCCTAAAGAAATCCCCCCCCCTGCTTTCAGAAACCACTTCTCCTCTTTCAGATGCCGGTTCTCTTCTTTTAGTAATTTGTAATTCTCCCATGATTGGAGCAGTGGCTGTCTGCTCAATCTCATCAACAACAACAAAAAAAATTCTAACAAAAATGGATTTCTTAAGCCCTTTTCAGACGTGCACTGGAACCATGAAATTATCTAGACGTTACCTAGAGGAGCTGTATGTGAGAACACAAATTAAGCAGACTTTACCCTGCCTCCCAAGTACAAAGTCTGTGTAATGTCAGAGCCCATGTGAGAAAACAGCCGCATATAGTCCGGAGTAGATTTGGGAACTTCTGTCATTTAGACTTGTTGCCAGAATCGTCAGACAAATTTAAGGTTGGGCAAGAGTCTTTGTTGTTTATGACCAAATTACAAACTGACTATGTGACCGCATCATGTCCTGCCTCCTGTGTGCTCCACCTAGGTGCACCCCTGTGCATAAACCAAACGGAGTATTTCCAGGTGAGAACGCTACACGGACTGTCTCCTGTTGTCCTCTCGACAAAGCCCAAGGCTGAATCTGTGGACATAATTTGAAGCTCGTGGGAATACGGCTTCAGTGTTGATACTTTGATGCTCATAGGGTGTTCTACTGCCCCAATGGGGGTCATAGTATCTACAGACAAACCTATCTGCATGCGTCTTTTCTAAGTAAGCCTCTGGTTCTTTCATAAGCTCTTTCAAGGTGCAACTTTTCTCTTTAATTAGTAGTGCCTTGGTGAACTTTTATAAGAATCATCACTTTTTTAAATTTAAGTAAACAGTGGCTACACAGCAAACATGTACTGCTAATAGCTGCACCTTTGGTGCCAGTGTCAGGGTTCTGTCCTACTGCTTCCTGTTTCAGGCTCTTATTTTGTCGCCACTTCCTGTTCTAGGTTCATCTCTGTTATGGACTCTTTATTGTAATCAGTGCTCATTGCCTACACCTGTTTTCACCCCATTATAAGCAGCCTTCTCCCATCAATAACCTGCCAGATTGTTCTTGACACCGTGCAGACTTTCCAGCGTTATCCTTGTTTTAGTGATTCGTGTTCTTGACCCCGGATTGTTTCCTGACCGCCGATTTCTGCCTAGCCCTCCTGATTGTTGTATGTTTATTTTGTATACCAATACTGGACTGGCTTCTTTGACCTCCCGTTTTGGATCCCTTGGCTGTGTTCGTTTGCCGGTATTGACCCTGGACTGTTGTGTGACTTGGATTATGGTTTCTGGACTGCCACTGTGTATTCTCTGAATGAGTGCAGTAAAGTGATATTATTTACTCTATCTCGCCTGGCTTTATAATTGAGTCCACCATTAACATTGTGGGTAGCTGTACTGGCCAGCCCTGATAGCCAGTCTCCCAAAAGGTGAGGAAAATATAGGCCAAGAAATGTGGCTTTATATGTCGCTCACTGCTAACTCACTGACTGTATGGCAACAACATAGCACATGTTTACATCCCCCAAATAATCCTGGGAACTGCAATTCCCAAAATTAAAAGTGACAAAGAAAAGTAATAGTAGTGATAAATCTGTTCATTAGTTTAAAAATCATTCTTTTTTTGTGTTTTACTAGCAATACATCTGGACATTCGGGTTCTGTTGGAGGTGTTTTATTTTAGAAACGGATTACTTTGTACAATGCGTTTTGAACCATATTAGAAATATTTGTTCCAGATGACCACTTGAAGGTGGAGTAAGAATCTGCACATTTTCAGACAGACCTATGAAAAGCATTCACAATGTTGACTTGTGTTCTGCTTCCTCCAGCATTCTTTCTTCACTGTGCCTGACACAAGGGACCTCCCCATCATACCTGAGAATGTGAGCACCGTCATTCCTCACTTGCATTTTGTTTGATTTTAATACTTTCACAGACTGACATCACACATTTAAGATCATTCGCGATCCCATTTTTAAAATGCCTTGCTCTCAGGTGTCAGTTGAAGTAGCTACTGAATATTTTGACTTGAACCACAGTTTATACCATTCATGCTGAATCATGCTCTGCTGGTTTTTACCTTCAAACTAACTCCCCAATTTGTTTTTCTCTTATTGTGTTTTGACCCTTGCAGAGAAACCTAACCGAGTACTTTGTAGCAGTAGATGTCAATAACATGCTTCATCTGTATGCTAGTATGCTCTATGAACGTCGACTCCTCATCTGCTGTAGCAAACTAAGCACTGTAAGTAGAGTCCACTTTCTGTTCCTTCTCTCTTGTACAGCTCTGCCCATATGGTTTCTTAAATCTCTTGGTAATGAGGTTTTTTAGAATCTACAGTTTACAGCACACTTACAGCATTGACCCTGTGACCTCTATGGAAAGAGTTTTAGTAAATGTTTTCTTTAAATTGTTATGCTGGAACTTGAAGATCAGGGTAGGTAAAACCCTGGGTTAGAACTTTGATTCATGTGAAGCAAAGTAAGTTGGCGACCAATTTGGATGTCAAATGAAGGTGGTAAACGAATGTGAGACAGTATATCTAGTGATATTTGGGTCAAAGATCCTCCATAAAATGAGAGGCTACCTTTAAAGTTTTCATAACAAATGTGGAAATACAGTAATGTGAAAAAGTCTTAGGCCACAGTTAGTTTTGCTGTTTATTCACGTTTGTAATGATTTATATTTATTTCTCAGCCTTTTATCCAGAAATTACAGGAAATACGTACACAGTTTTAAAAACACATTTTCAGAACCAAATGGCTTCTACAGTCTAAAGTCGGTATTTAGTGTGACCTTTCTTTGCACTTAGCGCAGCTTGAAACCATGATAGACCCTCCACCATGTTTCACTGAAGGCTAGAAGCATCTCATTCTTTTACCTCTCTCAAACTTTTCTTTTCACATACTGTCAGTGGTTGGACCCAAACATTTCAAACTTCCATTCATCGCTCCATAAGACTCTTTTCCGCTGATCGTCAATCTAGTCTTTTGTGAGCTTTTGTGTATCTCATCCTTTTCTCCCTGTCCCCTTCTGAAAAACTGGTTTCTTGGCTGCTGTTCTTCCACAAAGGCCGCTCCTGATCGAGCTTCTTTGGACTGAGGAAGGATCAGCTTGGTATCCAGATGAAGCCAGATGCTGAGCCAGGTCCTTGTTGGATTTCCTCTGGTCCCTCAAAGAAGAAACTCTGAGAACCTTCTCGTCAGACTTTGCTAGTTTCTTGGTCTTCTACTCCCGTTTTTGTCCTCGACCTCCAGATTCTTCAGATTTCTTTAGAACAGCTTGAATACAACATCTTGAGTTTCCAGTTTGTTTGCTGATTTTTTTTTTAATTTGTTTTTTTAATATTGTGTACATATTTCCTATATATTATAGTTGTATTTTGATAAAAAAACATATATAAAGTCATCATAACCTTGCTAAAACAACAAATGTAATGGTGGCGTAAGACTTTTTCACAGTACTGTAGTTGTGTTGCATTATTTAATGAGAGAATCAAACAAGAAATTATTTTGAACTTCACAGTTGCTCTGTCACCACAACCTTTGGTTATACAACAGCTCTAAAACGTTCTCCTTGTTAGGAACACATCCATTAGTATTTCACTGATAGGACAGTTCATTATAGTTTCTATATGAACAGTAAAAACATTTGATACTTTAACTGGGCCGATTTCACAACTTCCATCTAATCAGTCAAGTAAATGAAAGATAACTAGGCAAACCTTTATTAAATGTGGATACTAACAAATGAAGAACTATAAAGGTATGAAAAAGCCCAAAATTACTTCATTACAATAGTTCCTTTTGGCTGTAATAGAAAAAAACATTTTGTGCACATCACAGTCCAATCAGAAATAAACGTTTACCTATTTCTTACTCTTGGATGTAAATTTGTGCACATGAATTAATAGACCATAGCACAAAACATACTATTTACATTTTAACACATTTAAAGTGGCTGTAATCAATATTTTTATAATGGCAGTGCATTAAATGGCAGTATGAAAACATTGTGATTGACCTGTATCATGTATTTGTTATTTCTCCTTGTCCACAGTTAACAGCTTGTGTTCATGGGTCTGCAGCCATGTTATATCCAATGCACTGGCAACATGTTTACATCCCTGTCCTTCCTCAACATCTGTTAGACTACTGTTGGTGAGTATGATTCCAACATACGAGTAAACACGTACCCTGTATGGACCCAAGCCTGATGTGACATGCTGCACACGCTATGTTTTCAGTCTGTGCTAAAGGCTGACCAATTCTGATCTCCAATTGCAGATTGTATCTGATCAAATCTGTTTTGTCTGCATGTTATGGTGATGATTTTATATCCAACTTTTTTATATTCAAGTGGAATGGCCCTTCATTGTTCTGCACTACAGAGAAAACCAGGCCTTTATTATATTATTGTACCTTTATTATATTATTAAAGACAGATTCTTTATTTCTTTTTAAGAGTTTTCACATTAGAATTGTTGCAGTAAAGTATAGGCTTTTAATCAGGATGTCTACAAGTTTTGAAAAGAGCTGACTAGGGCTGGGCAGTGTCTGTTGATCTGGCATATGACTGACTATTTTAATGACTGTTTTTAATCTACCAAAACTTCGTTGGTAGTAAAGTACCACTTTGACCATCTGTTAGTAAATTACTTTGGGTTTTGGCCTGGCCAAAGTAATAAATTGCCCTTTTGTGTCACAAACACATTTGCTTCAGAATTTCATTGAGATAATAAGGTATTAATGGTGAATACAAACCTAAAGAGGCCAGAGCAGAATTTGAAGCAAAATATTAATATACCAATCAGCAGTTAATCAATTCATTAAATCCTTTTTTTTTTAATTCAAATTTAAAAGCCATGGTAACCTACAAGTCTTGTTTGCAAAATTCTAAACATACCATATGTGCTGAAGTGTACTTCAGGGACAAACAAAAGTAAAATTGAAGTTCAGTAAATCCATTCGATGCTTAAAGATCCTCCTGAGATTCCACACTCTCTAAAACAGTCACCTGTTTCTTTGTACAGTTGATGAATTCTGGTCTCCTCTCTGTCAGACTGTGCCATATACACACGTGTGGACCCATATTCCTGCAGGGACCCACCACTACTCTGCCTCTTAATGGCCATGGTTATGGTCATATGTTCAGTTAGACAGACTTGGACAATAAGTGTCACACTGTGTCTACACCGAAAGTTTAATCATTCCAGTTGACTACGCTGCCCATTCTTCGTCTTACCTATCACTTGCGCCTTCTGTGTATATACACAACCTAAAGTGTATTTTCACGTTTGTCTCAGAAAGCCAGTGAGAGGCAGAGTGGGGGTGAGTCTTCCCAGAATACGGGTTTGTGTGTGTTTCAGACTAATGCAGACAGAGGCAGGGCAGGATACTTCTGAGATTTACTCGCCAAATGGAAAATCGACCCACATTTGGCGCCTGGCGGGTGTTAATTTTGGACCCTGTCTGTAACTCAGCTGTTATCAGAGACATAAATGTGGTAACTACAGTGTGACTCTAACTCTTTGGGCTTCTTTTTTTCTTCAGTGCCCCAATGCCCTACCTCATCGGAGTGCATTCCAGCCTGATGGAGGTAGGTGTCTATAACTAGCACATGGGAACCGGATCATTCAAGACTTATAACAAAGAGCTACAGTGAACTTTTTGTTTGTTTGTTTGTTTTTACCCTGCTTCCCTTGTTCGTGACAGGTGTTAGATTCTATGTATTTATGGTCTTATAAATACAGTGACTTTGTGTCTTTAGTTGACTCTGTCAGTATGCTGTGTGTTCTTATTTCTTGTAGAAGGTTCGAGGGATGGCTCTTGATGATGTAGTGATCCTGAATGTGGACACAAATACCTTGGAAACCCCGTATGATGACCTCCAAAGCCTGCCCAATGACGTGGTGAGGAAAAGGAGTCCAGTTATTTTAAAATGGATGTAAACATTCTCAGATAAAACGGCATTCTAATGTCTGTGACCTACTGTTCCACAGGTTTCATCTTTAAAAAGTCGTTTGAAGAAGGTTTCAACAACAACAGGCGACGGTGTGGCTCGAGCCTTCCTTAGGAGTCAGGTGGCTCTGTTCGGCAGCTACAGAAGCGCTCTGCAGATCGAGTCGGTCAGTATGCCTTAAACCACTGACATGAGGGATGCAAGAAAGAGTGATAGAGTTGACATTGCTCTTTTCATGGGAGTTTGGGTGTGATGGCACATCAAAAATCACATGGATATCCTTAAATATTTAAAACAATGGCATTTAAACAGTGTCAAATGCCAGGGCTACTGGACACTGAATCTAAAAGGCTGACTTTGATACACCTGCAGAGTACTGTGACAGCTGGTGTGTTTTCCTGCATTTTTAGGGAGAGCCAATAACATTTAATGAAGAAACCTTTGTGAACCATCGTTCCAGTGCCATGAGACAGTTCCTCCAGAATGCCATTCAGCTGCAGCTCTTCAAACAGGTGTGACATACTGCATTCCCTAGCCCCTAAGGTCACTGATACACTGTACTTGCATTTAATCAGCATATATATGCATAGACAACAACTGCAATGCCAACATTGTTACTTACATACTTGCTTGCATAGTTTGTGTGTATCTGGAAGATTAAAAAATGTAGGACCTAATCCTCTCTGGTCATGAACAATATACATTAGCTCTTCTACAATATGAATAGAACCCATGGCTTCACTTGAGGAGGTTGCATTATTGTTGATATAGAGATCACAGCAGAGAAACCTGTAACAGTGACATTGTAGATGGTTTGTGCAGCAGACAAACTCTGCAAGTTTGTCTTCACAGCTTTCTCGCATTGTGGTGATCAGCAGCTGCTGCTGGCCTTACTTTCTGATACTGCCCCTACCCCTGTGCTGAATTGCATCTTGCTGATATTATAGCATTAATTTTTGAGGATGTACCTAACCATTGCTAACCAAGGAAACAAGATGTGAAGTAGCCATGATATGCAAGCACATCAGTAGCTTAAAGATGACTTTCAGCATCACAACTAAATGCTTAATCCCCAAAATTCACCCCTCTAACCTGAACTTTAAAACCAAGTCGTAATCTTCAAAAGGCCTTTGAAATTGTGAGGTCAAGTTATATTGGTCCTCAAAGATAACGGTACAATTCCACTCACGTTTTTTATTTATTTATTTTTTAAACCTTTTGC